CCAGCGCGCAGTGAGAAGTCCAGGCCCTCTCCAACGCCATGGCGGCCCATGCGGAGAAAGCCCTTGGCTGGCCGACGCCAGCTTGGAGGTCTACGAGTGGGCGATCACCACCTCTTTTCTCGCCCAGATCACCAGCCGTGCAACGTGGGCAGCTCGCACGGTCAAGGAGGCGCTGAGAACCCTTCTTAGCAAGGACGGCAGCTGACGGAAGTTCGAGGCGAACACACCTTTGGGCAACAAGACCGACCCTTTCATCACTGCTGACAAGAACCACTTGCTAGTCCGCTGCGGGAGAGGGTTGCAAGCTCAGTCGCTGCAAGTTCAAGACCGCAGACCTCGAAAGACGACCCTTCGCGGACTGGGAGCGAGGAATGATCCCGTTGGCTTGGGAGCGGCTGCTGCGCTACACCCCACAGGCTGGCGGCATGTCGAGGATCGAGTGGAGCTCGGCAAACTTGGCCGACCAGAACATCAAGAAGGAAAGGATCGAAAACCGCATCATGGCGCTCTTCCAGGCGCAAGCGGACTCTGATGCGTTGTCTCTTTGACACGTTCTCGAGGCCTCGGCATGCGTCCATTTCCTCTAGTGCCTCTCTCCATGTTGCTTGCTAGAAAGCGATTGCTGTCTTCCGTCACCGTTATCCAACGCGTACTAAGAAGCTCTCTTATCTCTCATCCCCCGCGTCTCCCGGGGACATCGCCGTGCACGAAACCCACGGCGTTGATGGGGAGGGGCGGAATATGGTCCACTTCGCTCACAAGCTTCATCGGCGCCATGCTAGCTTCTTGTTTGGCGCAGTGGGCGAAGTGCCCCCGATGACCCCTGACCCGTCCAGCGCAGAGGGCGCCCCGGATTCGCTTCGTGAAACTACCGCCCCTGGCCGTGCACCACGCGCAACGTGGGTCCACGATGATGGAAATCCCTGGGCCGCTCACTACAACATACACAAGTTCGGGCTTCTCGCAGCAAAGAGGCGCCACATCACACAGCACACTGGGCATAAAAGACCTCGCTGCCGCCGAAGACCCCCAATATCGTCTCGCCGCTGTCTTGGGCGACCCCAACATCGCCGCCACCCCGCCGGCCCCTCGTCGACCCGCCCGCGCCCCGGGGCCCAGGCTCAGGATGCCAGGCTCGGCGCGACACGCAGCAACCCATTCGGCGCCACTGCTTTCCGCAATTGGCGGAGACCCAAGCAGCGGGGCCCCACGCGCGCGCGCGCCCACGGCGATACTGAACATCATCGACCGCGCCTTCACTTGGCTTCCTTGGTGGGCAGTCTCGCAGCTAGACATTTGCGAGCACGTGCCCGACAGAAGTAGTGCCCCATCAGCAGATTTCGGACCACGCTACCGTCAACATCGTTCGAGACTGAAAATTACCGGGCTTTTAAAAGCTCACCTTGAGACCAGCAGCTTGGACAATCTCTCCCCTCTCTGGCCTTTCTACTCCAAATCGCCAGTGAAGGAAGCCGCCCGCGTTGCCCGCAATTGTTCACTGCGCGGAGCTGCCGTCGCTCAGGACACATCGTCTCTCTGGGGCAGAATTATGTTGCGCGGACCTATGCGCCGCGCCGTCTGGCGGCAAGGTTCCGGACTTGGCTCTCACCTGGCCCGCGCTCACCCCCAGGCTGCGCGCGCCCCGGGAATAGACTTGGTCTCGAGGCGCACGCGGGAGACCGTTGCTTCTTCAGTGATGCAGGGATCGCCTTGAAGAGCAAGCTCCTGAGGGGCTGAGGATTTTTTTCCGGGCCCTCTCGCAACCCCCGACGGGTCTGAACGAAAGCGACGTCGCCAGAGACCTCAGAGCTAGGGCGGGGGCACGTTTTGCGACAGGCGTCTTTCGATTCGCGGCGTCGTGGACGACGGCGCCAGCGGCGCGGTTCTCGCGGCCCCAACTGATATCGCATCCAGCGCCTATGGGGCACCCCATGGCGGCGTAGCCTGCCCAGGGTGCAACGAGCAGATCGCGCCCCGCATCGATCTCAGCGAGATCCCATTGCCATCTCAGAAACTGATGGCCGCTGTCATCCGTCGCCTTTCCGACGGCGCCCCAGGCGCTGACTGCGTTCCGCGCGCGGGATGGCAAAGGGCCCCCAGGCCCTTGAGAGTCTCGCGGAAAGTGTTCTGGCTATTGGATGGCGGGCTGGCCCCTGCTGGATACATCGACCCCCTGGGCATTTCAGCCCAGCAGGGGGGGCAGGAGAACGATTCCGAGGGAGGGGAACGCATGAGAGCGCAACCAGCTTAAACCAAAGGGCTTCAAGAACACCGACAGCCAAAATCACCACCACCAATTGCATGGCCCCCTTCTCTCGGGAGTGGGCACCGGTGGCCGACGAATTGCAACGAGGTTTCACCCAGGGACGCCACTTTGGAACAAGTTCCATCGAACTGGACGCCCACTCCCGCGCATACTCGATGCTTCCGAGTGATGCGCTTGACTTGCTTGCTCTAATCGCCCCCGATGTCGCGCGCGTGCGTTTTCCTTCGGTCTCTCACAAAAGGATGCGCTTCATGATCCAGATCATTCGTTTTCCTGATGATCGGGTCGATTTGTGATGATGCGCTAATATGGGACGTGATGTCTCTCTGAATTTGGGGGCGTTCTCACCTTCTTGTTTCCGATCCCCTCAGGCATTATCCAGGGCTGTCCAATTTCTGGAACGATATACGCAGTGTGCATGGATCCTTTTTGTCTGCGACTCCGACTATAGCTTGCAAGGCCCGCGGCATTGTCCGCCTCTGCGCCGACGACGTCGGCGCGGCTATGTTGAAGCTCCAGTAGGCGCAGCTCTTCTGTATTTTAACGCGGCTGAAAAGTTTGCCTCACTTGTGCTCAACACATGCAAATGCAATGCCCCGGTGATTGCTGGACTGTGTCCAGAAGCTCTTAGTCAAAGTGCACAAACAGCGCATTGCTTCTCTGCTTCCCTCCAGGGCGGGCTTCAAGAGTTTTAGCATCGCCAAATACCGTTGCCTGCAAATTGGCTCAAGGGCACAGTTTCGAGTCCGCAGGGGCCAGAGCTGTCAGCACGGTTTTTTCTAATGTTTATCCCTGTCGAGCGGCTTCGGCCTTGAGCTACGTGGCACAAGTTCTACCGCCCCCTTTAAAGACTTGCCCCACTTCGAAGCCGCGGTGCTCTCGAGCGTCTTTCACATGCCACAGTGTGGACTTGCTAGAGCGATGTGGTCCAATTTGGGGAATGGGGAGAACCGAAGATTCGTTGGAAGTGGTCTCCCTCTCTGCTCGTGCGCGCACTGCGCCCACGAATTACAAGCGGCGTGCCAGCGTGGTCCTTCTCTTCCGAGCTGCTCGACAACATCTCCTAATCGTAGGGTGGCGGCGCGAAAATGATGCACCCTCCTTCTGGAAACCAGAAGCTGTATGTCAACACTCTGCTGCCGCCAATTTTCTATCCTGAGCTCCCGCCCACTCTCTTTAGGGCCCGTCTGTTTGTTTGGCCCCCTGAGGAGCGCGAGCGTAGCCTTACCATTGACAGGGAGGCGGTGCGCCTCGCCCTTGTTTCCAGCCCTACCTACCTCGCCTCGGCTGCCATGCGGACTCGATCAAACAATTGTTTGGCGCAGCGCAGATTTCAGCAGAGCTCTGATGCTTGCTGCATGCTGCGATGCACAGGTTGCATGTTAGGTTCCGACAGTATCGAGCAGGACTGGCAATGCGTGATTTCCGGTGCCCTCCTCGACGCCGTTGTTGGTCCCATGGCCCCGTGTCCGTTGAATCGGCTTGGCGTTCTCGCTCCTTCGAAGCTCTCGATGCTGATACTTGCTTGCCGATATGTCCTCTTTAATGAAGTGTGTGCCAAATCCCAGCGTTTTTAACGACCCCTCACTCTAACGGAGGAGCAGGCCTTCCGACCCTCCGCCATCAGCTGCGGCGGTAAACTGGTCGTGCTGCGTGGGCCCAGACCAGGCGCGCCCCCATTTTGGCCACGCGGCAGGAGGAGGACGAGGAGGAGGAGGAGGAGGAAGATGAGGGGAAGGTGGAGAAGGGACGAGGGAGAAGGGAGGAGGGAGGAGAAGGACTAGGCGGATGAGGAAGGGGAAGAGGAGGAGGGCGAACAGGAAGTCCCGAGGCCTCTTGGATGCTTCTCGGACTCTTTTCGGATGTCTTTCTAAAGTTTCTTGTAGGCCTGTCGGGGCGTCGGCCTCTTGGCGGCCCCAGGGGCGTATGGGTGCCTCGGGGGAGCCTCCTGATGTCTCTTGGGAGCCTCCTGGGGGCATGTTGGGGACATTTTGGAGCCTCCTTGGGGGGGAAGGGGGAGGGGTACCCCCTCCCCCAAGGAGGAATGGAAGTTGGAAGAGCACACGTCCTAAACCACTCGCGCCCTAAAGGGCTGGTGGCATTTGTGCTTGTAGGGACCTACGAAGAGGGAGGGTTTCTTGCAACATCGTTGAGGCGTCTTGGGTTTACATGGGTCAGCCTCCTCCTCCTCATCTTCCTCCTCCTCCTCCTCCTCACCATCATCACCATCAGCATCACAATCATCATCCTCATCATCATGAACATCATCATCCCCCTTCCTATCCAGAGCTCGGTGGAGACCTCCGCAGACCTCCACGGTTGGTGCGCTTGTGGCGCCGAATGTGAGTGTCGCTCAGGAAAAAGCATCAGGCCTTTATCGCCCTCTCATCGCCGATCGGGACGATGGGTACCCCACCCTCCTCAGGACCCTGCTGTCTCTCTCTCTCTCTGAGGGTTGGGAGGTCTAACGGGGATGCATCGGCGATGTCGACATCGCCGACTCCAGGCCGAGGTTCCCCCACCCCACAGCCAATCCCCGCCACCTTCGGCTTCCTCTCCTCTCAGTATGGAGGAGGGGGAGGAGGAGGAGGAGGAGGAGGAGGAGGAGGAGGAGGAGGAGGAGGAGAGCAGGGACGAGCAAGGACGAGACGGGACGAGGCCTCGGGAGAGCACGGCCACGGCGCCATCGCCCGCTGGGACCGCCACGAGGGGCGGCAGCCCCCGCGCCCGAGAGGCTCGCGTTCTCCCTCACGCTCCGCGAGACGAGCCTCCACGAGGAGCCCTGGCGCGCCGCTCGCGCTCCGACGGGGCCGTGCGCCGCCGCCTCGGCCTCCCTACCCGCGGGCCCGGCCGCCGGCCGCGGTGGCCGCCGTCCGCGCGGCCACGCACCCTGAGGCGTTTTGCGGACGGCCCCCGGGCCTGGCGAGGGCCCCCAGAGGCCGAGATTCTCGGGGGCGGCAAAGAGGTGGGGGGATGACCAGGGGGAGGGGGAGGGATAGCATGGCGTTTGGCCATGATGTCTCCCAGATTTCATGGCGCTTCTTCTGATTTCAATACGTCCCCAGCCCCCCCTTGGGCCGCGCACATGCCGCTGGCCATGGTTTGCGCCCCCCCCCTCTTGGACGCCCCCCTCTTGGCCGCTCCCGAGCCTGGCGAGGGCCCCCAGAGGCCGAGATTCGAGAAAAAGATCCGAGCCGAGGTTCTCGAGACGGTGGGGGTGCGGGTGCGGCTGGCGCAGCCCGGCCGGGCGATCGGCTCGACTCTGCCGCTCGAGCTGGCCTCGGCCGGAGGGTCGGCCCTCGCCGGTGGCCTTCTCGCTCGCCCCCGTGATCGACTCGCGCGGCGGCGGCCTGGGCGCCGCGGCCGGGTCCCGGCGGCCCGGGTCGGACAGCCGCCGAGGTTGCCGCGTTTCTGGATCCGTGCACCGCCACGCTCGCGGAGGCGCCTGCGCGCAGCATTCGGGTGCAGTTGGAGGGAGGCGTGTCGGACGCTCTGCGGAGGGGCAGAATGCCACTCCTCAGAGAGCCGTCGGGGCCGCGGGGACCTTGCCGATGACCCCGGCATGCTGGAAGCCGCAGGATATCGCAGAGGAGGTCCAGGGGAACGAAGCCCAAGGCGATGTTCTGATTGACAGTTCGAGAAATATGGGATGACCAGAAGGGGGTCCTCGAACTGCGAGTTGCGCTGAAGGGCCCATCATGGCAATGTGAGGAGTTGGTGCGCCAATTTGGGATTCGCATATTCGTTTGTGTCCCACTTGATGCAGCGGTGGCAAATCATGAACAGCAACAGTAGCAATTGACATGTTGCATACTGCGACTGCCACCGCTACATATGACACGACTCGTCCCAGGACTACGACTGATCACCTTACCTTTGTCGCTGCAAGTACGCCACTGCGACGAATTCTTGGTGAAGCTAGAGAAGCAGCAGCAGTAACCGTGGTGGCCTGCACTCTCCAGCTCGTGGCCCCCGGGTCGACTCGCAGCCTGCCGATCTCTGTTTCTGGCCTTCCCCGGCCCGTGGCCATAGTGCCAGTCGTGGCCCGACGAGTGTTGCTCCCGTGGCCCGTGGTGCGTGGCCCTCACCATCAGACTGTGGCGCCTCAGACAAAAAAGCGGCGTCTGGTGTTTACACAGTTCGCGGCTGAAGTCTTCCGCCTTTGGGTGGCACCGTCTCTTTCCCCACTCCGCGGCTTCCCTGTCCATCCTCTTCCTCCTCCTGCATGCTGGCCAATTCGCTTTTCGGTGTCCCCGTTTAGCTCTATCGCTGGTGCAGCCATTTTGCCTCGCCGCCGACGGAAGTTTTCACAGCTCGGGCCTCTGGAGACCCGTCTCGTACCACGGGGCTGTCGAACAAGGATTTGGGAGGAAAAGGCAGCCCGGGCGAAGGGGTTGAGAGCCCGCGAGGGGGTGAGGGGGCAGGCACGTCACGACAGGAAATGTGACGTCGCATGCGGGGGGCGTTCGGTGAGCTGTTCCGCATTTCGAGACACGTCTCCGCCTCCTTTCTTCCTCCCTTACTCTCCTCGCTCTCATTTCGACCTGCACTCACCCGTTCTTGCTGTGTCACTCTTCCTCGCAGTCTCCACTCACCAACACATGTGCGGGCCCCCCCAAGAGACTGATGATCACCAAATGCTAATGGCACCACACGCGGGCCTCCCGAGGGAACCGACCAGTGCTGGAGAAAAGGCGCCCCGGAGAGAGGTTGGTAGTTGTCATTTTGAGTAATTGTAGAGCAGAGCGCAGAGAGCACAGAGTTTATAGTAGAGAGACGAGAGTAAAGAGTTCAAGTTGGAGAGTCGAGAGTGGAAGGCGGAGTGACGATATCAGAATATCAAATTGCCCGCGGCAAGTCCCGCCACCGTGCTAGCCCAGCATTATGCCTAGTCCTAGTCCAGCTCGGCAAAAGTCAGCCCCCCTCATTCCAACTCAACCAGTCTCTGCCAATCTCAATCCAGCACACTCTGGTTCAGTCCAGCGTGAAGGGGAGATGCTGGTCGCACCCAAACGATCAGAGTCGATCTGAGGCTCCTTTACTGGTTGCAGCACATTCGCTCTCGTGATCGGTTTGTGATTTGCGAGTATACGATACCTTTGCAAGCATTCGTTGCGACCAGAACGATTAATCAGTCAAGTCGCGGAATACGGTTGGGCACAGGCTGTAGTGTTGCTGCACAGACATCACCCGAGCCACCGAGATGTTGCTAGCAACAGACGGGCGCACGGAGAACTACGGTATCGCCGTCCTGCGGTCGAGCTTCACATGTTGAACTTGGCTTGCGGAGACCTCACGGCGTGACAACATCGGCCACGTGCCATTTTCTCATGTGTCTTGGCTTGTCGAGCGAGGGAAGCGGGAGGGGAGGGGGGGGGGGGTATTCGCCGCCAGGCAACCCCGCGCGGCGGGCTGGAGTTCCAGTGTACCGCCACCGTGCGCGATACAAGCGCCACGCCGTGGTGGGTCGGCGCTGGTGCTTTGGACAAGGCTGGGCTGCGGGGAGGAAGAGGAGGACGAGGAGGAGGAGGCGTGGGGATTGGAAGGAGGTTGGGCTCTCTTTGTGTGTTACTTCATGATATGTCCTCCCACTCTTACTCCTTCTTCCACCTCATCCTCTCTCGCTTCTCGAGGTCACTCCAGATCATCCTCATGTCGAAGACGTTGTGGAACCCCTTGAGGGGAACACATGGGAGAGAGGAACGGAGGAGGAGGAGGAGGAGGACGAGGAGGAGAAGGAGGAGAAGGAGGAGGAGGAGGAGGAAGAAGAGGAGGAGGAAGAGGAGGCCTCTTGAGAGGCCTTCTTGGGGCCTCCTGAGGCTTTCGGTATTATCCACCCTAATCCCGAAGCCCTTAAATTCATTGCAATGTATTTCCAGCTCCACAGACTCGCCCATCAGGAGAGTAAGCGGTGTTCCTTCCCATATAGTGTGGCTGATGCCACTTCCCTCGCGCGCGCGGCCCTTCAGGCTGTTGACATGCCATTCGGCGGTACTCGTCGGAGACGGCCCAGGCGTAGATGAGGCTAGGTTTGGGATGACCCGTCCCCCCCAGACGCTCCAACCTCCTCCTCCTCCTCCTCCTCCTCCTCCTCCTCCTCCTCCTCCTCCTCGGGCCAAGGGTGTCGATAGGGACTCTCTCCAGCTACTTACCTGTTGTCCCCGTCGCGCATTTCCCCCTGCCAGTGTGTATGTGCTGAAGGATATCTGCCATGATGTCAAAGCTCGGAGATTGGATATGTATGACCGTGCCTGTCTATTGTGCGCTACCAATAGACGTGAAGCCCTCCAGCACGATGATTGCATGATAGCAGTACTAGGTAAAACATATATAAATACTACTAAAAAAGAAAATACAAACAACAACAACAACAAAAATGATAGCATGATGCAAGAGCTCAGTGGCGTCGATCAGCTGTGGATCGCTTGGAGAGCGCATACCATGGCACGTCATTCCACCATTGTGAACATGAGCCAGGCGTTTCATGATTCTGATCGTGTGCGTAGCCTACCTGAGGTCGCAGGGCGGTCAGTACAGAATGGGATCACGAACATCATGATGTTGGACAACCCCACGAAATAATGTTCCTCTAGCGTCATTCCCTTTACAACATATAGTATGTATGTAATCGTGCTTTGTTTATCAGAGTGAGGGGGCTGAACCGAACGGTCATTCACGGTCCCTGGGTGCGTGGCTGAAGCGGAATTCCGCGATGCGGATTATTGTTGTTATTGTTGTTGTTATTGTTGTTGTTGTTGTTCGTTGTTTGTTGTTGTTGTCGTCCCACCCGTGACCCGCCCCGCGACCCACCCGCGACCCGCCCCGCGACCCACCCGCGACCCACCCGCGACCCACCCGCGACCCACCCGCGACCCACCCGCGACCCACCCGCGACCCACCCGCGACCCACCCGCGACCCACCCGCGACCCAACCCCCCCGCGCGCCCACCCCCGCGCCCCGGCGACCCACCCGCGACCCACCCGCGACCCACCCCGCGACCCTCCCGCGACCCACCCCGCGACCCACCCGCGACCCACCCCCGACCCATCCGCGACCCACCACGACCCACCCGCGACCCACCCGCGACCCACCCCGCGACCCACCCGAAATGTTCGGCGCTTGCGGCGGGCTTCTTTTGCATTCGCTCCAGGTGGAGAACTTGCGACCCAAACCGCGTTCATTGTACATATCATTTTTTTCGGCGCCTACGGCGGGCTGTTTTTGAATTCCTTCCAGGAACTTCCAGGTGGAGGTGGAGAGCCCGCGACCCAAACTGCGTTCTCTGAACGAGCCAAAACTTCGGCGCATGCGGCGGGTTTCTTTTGCAGTCGTTCCAGGTGGAGAACCCGCGACCCAAACCACGTTTAGTGTACAAGTCAAAATTGTCGGCGCCTGCGTCGGGCTGTTTTTGAATTCCTTCCAGGTGGAGGTGGAGAGCCCGCGACCCACCCGCGACCCAAACTACGTTCACTCAACAAGCCAAAAATTCGGCGCCTGCGGCGGGCTGTTTTTGCATTCGTTCCGGGTGGCCCACCAGCGATCCCCCCGCGCTAGATTTGTCGGAGCACGCAAATCGGCGCCTGCGGCGGGCGTGCTCGCATTGTTTTGGGAAAGCGCCCTCGTGCCATTCCCCCGATTCGGCCCACGCTGACTCTACAATAGCAAATCGGCGCCTGCGGCGGGGCTGTGTCTGAACACGTTCATAGACAATCCAGCTGCCTGCTACAATTCGGCATCTGTGCCCAAAGCCTGGGTTCAGGCGAAGCTGCCTCAAGGCGCCCACAATTAAGGGGCCTCGGGGCGCTCAAGGACCCTCCTGACGACGACGACGAGGACGACGACGACGACGATCAGGACGAGGACGCGGACGAGGAAGAGGAGGAGGTGGCGGAGGAGGAGGAGGAGCAGAAGGAGGAGGAGGAGTAGGGCGCCATCGACAGGGAAGGTGAGGACCACGAGGTCCGCCGGCTCGACGCCCGCGTCGCCCGCGCCCGCCCCCTCACTCTTATCCACAATTGCGGGGTACTACGAATGTATTACGCACGAGTCTGTTGAGCTAACTACCTTGACGTTGAATTACAATAAGAAGCACTTACCTACATATGTATTCACAAAGCACTTGCCTACACATGCATCCACAGCCATTATCCTGTGTAGGTTGAACGGTTGGAATACGACCAGAAGGCACCATTGCGGGGCAGAGTCGAGCAAAATGTGTTGTGCCGCTGTTGGCGGAGACGACCTCCTCCACTACGCAGCCTGTCCAGTTGATGGAGAGTAGATTACCCGTCACATCCATCTTCTCCCCGACGGATATGGCTCCGACCTTGTTCCTTACTTTCTTCCCCACCTTTTTACCATCAGACAGTGACAGGCTCCTGCGCGTTGCACTTGCTCTCAATACCCTCCGTTGTACCCACCAGTCTCTTCGGTCCTCTCCTGCCCCCCTCTACCCCTTCCCGCACCCGCGGGCTGCTGGCGGCCTGGCTCCGAACGTCTGCACGGCGGTCGCGCCGTGCTGCCACCCTGCTGCATCGTCGTCGGGATAGCGAAGTTGCCCAGGCAATGGTTTAGGTCGGGTCGGCCAAACGATATCCTCCCCCTGTGGTCGGTGCTACTCATCCTCCCCCTCCTCCTCCTCCTCCTCCGCCTCCTCCGCCTCCTCCCTCCAGGTTCGCGCCGTGTCAACGCGGCAGGAACGCTGGCGCGTGCGTTCAGTGTGTAGGATCTCCGGCGGTTTGAGCCACACCGAAATTGAACGATCTCCGTTGTCGGTTCGGATAGCGGAGACCGTTCAAGAGGCAATGATCGACGCGGTGTCAGAAACCAACGTCCATGTCGACACCACAAGAGTTTCCCTTTGTGCTTGGAGAGGCGGCGGCTTCCTGCTTGACCCGCCCATGATCCGGGCGGGCCGAAGTCCAGCCTATTTGAGCCGCTTTTCTGCTTCATGCATCTGCCGGCATCTGCCGAGCGGCCTGTCCTCTCCTCTCCCGGTTTCTGCCCTCCGCCTCCTGTGCCTCCCGCTCGTCATTCAGCCTGGCCGTGGGAGAGTCACGCTCGGAAGGCATTCACTCGGTGCCAGGGCCATCCCCCGCGGTCGAAGAGCGGGCATCAGAAGCTCCCAGGCATCCAGCGGCTCAAGCAAGCACGAGACTGCGGTCGACTCGCACCTTGGATCATGTGTGAGCCTGTTTCGGATCCCAGGGACACTCAAACAAAGACTCGGTATAAAAGGCCAGCATTGAGGAAGGGGTTAAGAGGTCCAGGGGCCACGTCTCGAAACAATCGAGCCGCTGGGCGTCTGGGCTTCTTCCCCATCCGTCCCCTCTCCTGTCCCCTAGCTTGCCTGTCCCCTCGTCCTCTGTCTCCTCCCTCCTCCCTCATGTCATCATGCCCTCCTGCTGCTTTCCTGCTCTCATCACTCCTGCTCTCCTCCCTCCCGCTCTCCTGCCCTCCTCGCCGTCCTGGTCTCTCGCGGGCTCCCTCCCCCCTCCTGGCCTCTCCCTCCCGTGGGATGGGGCGCAGGGCGCGCCCTGTCTGGATGCTGGGGACGCCGCAGCGGGGCCGACGCCGACTCTTCGAGAGTCCAGCTTGGGAGAGGCCACGCGGGAGGGTCTCCTCCTCCCTCTTCCTTCTCCTCCTCCTCCTCCTCTTCCTCCTCCTCCTGTTCCTCCTCCTCTTCCTCCTCCTCGTCCTCTCCTCCTCCTCCTCCTCCGCCTACTCCTCCTCGTCTTCCTTCTCCTCCTCTTCCTCCTCTTCTCCTCCTTCTCCTCTTTCTCCTCCTCCTCCCCCTCCACATCCTCCTCCTCCCCGGGCAGAAGCTCCCTGCCCGGCCCCCCCCCCGCCCTGCGGGGAGTCCCTGAGGTGTCTCTCTCACCCCGCATTTGGTAGGGGATGGAGATTGTGAGTCTGTCGGAGCGGTCTCCTCGGCTTGGTTTTTGGTTTCGCCCTTTTCTCTTGGGGGCGGGCCCTCTGGGGCTTTGTGTTCCCTGCCTCTCTGGGCGGAAAGCTTCGACAGATCCCGTCTCGTCCCATCCAGTGCTGGTGGATTGACCTCCAGGGCCGTCGCTGCACGGACACTTCCGAGCCTGCCCCCGGGGCCGTTGTGCCATGCTAAAAGGGAGTCGCTTCCGAAGCTCCCGCACCAGCTCCATGGGAGCACCACCGACCTACCTACCTACCTACCTACCTACCTACCTACCTACCTACCTCCTCCTCCTACTCCTCCTCGTCCTCCTCCTCCTCCTCTTCCTCCTCCTCCTCCTCCTCCTCCTCCTCCTCTTCCTCCTCCTCTTCCTCTCCTCCTCCCCCTCCATCATCATCCCTCCCCCCCGTTCCTCCTCCTCCTCCTCCTCCTCCTCCTTCTCCTCCTCTTCTCCTCTCTCCTTCTCTCCTCCTCTTCCTCCTCCTCTCGTCTTCTCTCCTCGTCCTCCTCCTCCTCCTCCTCCTCCTCCTCCTCCTCCTCCTCCTCCTCCTGCTCGGAGCAGTCTACTGTTCAGCATCATGGCGCTTCCTTTCCTGGAGCTGTTTCTCGGAGCCAGGGGCCGTCTTTCTACACCTCGGAGGTTACAGCATCTGCGAGGGTACGAGAGCAACCTCTTCACGAGCTAGTCGCGTCTTGGTGGGGTCGTCTGGCCACTGCTTTAGGCCGACTACACCTTCACCGCGCCCGCGAGAACGGGCCCGTTCGGCAGCAGCAGTTGTGTCTAGCTTGTGCCGCTCTTGCCAGTGATCAGCCCGAAGCTGTACACGTTCCGCTGGCCAGTTCAGAGCACGTGGTCGGCGCATCTTGGAGTCAATGGCAGGTCAAGCTCTTCGGCATTAGCAGCATTTCCCTGGATGACCTCAACCAGTTGGCCGTCACGGCCAAGCGGGCTTCGGGCAGGGCTAGGAGACGTGCTCTTGGGAGGTCCTTGAGAGAGCTGCGGGAATGGATTTCTATTGATGAAGCCACTGGGATCCTCCACAAGGCGCTCCAGAAGGTACCTCCAGCCCCCGATGAGCTAGTCAGCGGCCAGGTTCTATGTCATCCTCTTCACATCGTGGACGAGAAGGCCAAGAAATGGCATGACTCGTGGCGGCCGAATCTTCTCGACCTTGCCCATGTTCGCGCTGTGTTTGCTGGTATACGTCAAGCTGCACAGGCAGAGCAGATCGAGCCGCTCTAGCCTGAACGATTTCGGCGAGCCCTGCATGCTATAAAACCAAAAGCAGGACTCGGGGTTGACCAACTCACTCCCCTCGACATGGAGCGATTGCCACCAGCTGGGCTCGCCGAACTCATTGCTCTTTTGAATGCTTGTGAGGAGTGCTTGTCTTGGCCGTGGCAAACTCTCTTGGTGGTAGGGAGGCCCCCAGGGAAGTAAACGGGGGGGGACAGGGTGATTGGTCATATGTCCATGTTCTCTCGGGCTTGACCCCTTGCCCGATAGGACAATGCGCGGTCCTGGTCTCAGGGCCCCGAGCCCGTTTGGGACGCGGCCGTCGCGGGGAACTCCGCGCTCCACGAGGCCTTGTTGCGCGCTCTACACGACGAATCGTTGTTTCGTCTCGACATGTCGTTCGGAGAGGGCCTCATCGACATCAAGGGGTTCTATGGTGAGATGCAGTGGGGGCCCTTGGCTAGCACGGCGATTCGTCTTGGGTTCCCTCCTGTCGTGCTTTTCCTAGGGCCCCAGATGTGCCTTGCACCCCGCACGGTTGCCCAGTTGGGATCCTACTCTGAGGCTTTTCAGGCGACCCAAAATATCATTCGGGGACTGCGCAGCGGGACGCGGTTCTGGCGATGCTTGTTTGACTTTATCTCCAGAAGCTAACCACCGCTACTCCTGGCATGTCTTTTAAGATTTGGAACGACGAACTCACCCAACACACCGCCGGTTCCAGGAAGGCCGTCTATAACAATTTGCACCGCGGAGTGTTGGCAAGTTGCCAAGAGCTGCAAGGGCACGGCCTTCCGTCTCGGAGAAAAGCGCCATCCTGCGCTGCAACGTCGCGGACGGCAAGGCCAGCGCCGCTCGCCTCCGCCGTCGAGGTTTCAAGCTTCAGCACTGACATCAAGTGCGCCTGTTTGGAGTGGACCTCGGAGCGGGACGCGCTGCCAGAGCGACGAGAGAAAAGAGAGAGAGAGAGAGAGAGAGAGAGAAACAAAAAAAAAAAAAAAAAAAAAAAAAACGTAATCATAAAGCCAAAATCAAACAAACGCATGCGCAAGTTTGCTCGCGCCTCTCGCGAGCACGCCTGCACTGGCATGATCGAACGTGCTGGGGCGCAAGCGCATGCACTTCGGGCATTGCGTTTACGGAGCGCTCGGTGAATGTCGACGTCAGTGCAGGCGTCGTCCCGGGCGCACGTTATCCTCGGGCACCCGGGGGAGATGTCTCACCACGGTTTTGGACCTCAGGGCGGACGGTCATGATCCAGGGTATAAGCTCCCACGGGAGCGCCTTCAGCTTTGGCTTCGCACTTGGGCGCAGGAGCCGGCAGTTCGCCCAGCTATTCGCGCGGCTCGGCCGCGCATCGTTTCGCAGTTTCGCCGGCTTGCCCGCGGCAGGTGGCCCAGGTTGTTCGCTGGCCAGCGCCAGCCGTTGTCGCCTACCTTCTCGGGCTCGGTTGGGACCCAGCCCCTCCGAGCGGCTGGCATACCCCCCCCCCCCCCCTGACGATGAAGGACCAGGTGCAATTTGGACGTTCCCCGATGAGGTTGCATCGCGGTCTGAAGATACCAGCGGGCCTGTTCAAGAGTTCGAGGATTCGGCTCGGGCTCGGCAGTGGGTCTCAGCTAGTCGGCGCTTCTGCGGCGAGGGGTCGCAGCACGGCGCAGACAATCGTTCGTACAGACGTGTTTTGATGTTCTTGGCCGGGGTTCCGAAGCTCGGCCCAAGGCTGGCGGGGGCGCTTTCGCCATTGCAGCAGGAGGCACTTTGCCGAGATCTCGAACCAAGCAGGAGACCAAGGCCGACGTCAGCGGTTTTTGAGAGATGTGGCGAGGGGCCCGGGACGCCTCTACATCGCGCGCGGACAATGCCCGTGCAACACAGGCAGCGCAGTTTATCGGGAGTCGGAACATCTAGTCCCTAGGGCTGTCTCGGGTCAGGACTATGAGTCCTGCTTCTGGCTCCGTGGGGTCATTCCAGCCCCATGGACCAGAGTTCCGCCCCCCCCCCCCAGGTGAATCTTGGAAGTTTATCACTAAAGTGGCGACTTTCCTACGGCAGGTGGCTTAGGTCACGGGTCCCTTGAAGACCCGCTGGTGGTTCTCGGAGATGCGAGCGGAGGCGAAGATAGTCGCGATCCTCGGCTTCCACGCGTCGGCATCGCTGCGTGTGTTCGAGGTTCAGCCACCCCGCCGTTCGTGCTGCTGTTTTCGGACGCGCACCAGGACCTGTTCAGCCTGTCCCGCCCGGGGGGCTCTGGAGCCCCCCCGTGGCCATCAAGTTCTCCTACGCGGCCCTCGCGCATGTCAGCGACAACAGCGGGGTCGTCGACGGGCGGTTTGGCAAGCTTTATTCGGCCCCGTCGGGGCCCAATCGTGCCGTCTGGAAGCTCATTGGAGCAGCTCTCGAAGGTCGCGATGTGTCACAGGTCACCGTTGCGCGGGCGCCCTCCCACATCGACGTTTCCTCAGGCTCGGCGCCCCCCCTTCCTGGATGGATGTTTGTCGGAAATCAAGTTGCTGATGAATTTGCTCGCATCACTGGGTTGGAAGCTCGCGTCGGTCCTCCGGTCCGCGCCAAAATCGCGCGGGTGGAAAGGGACGCGGCCTTGGACCGGAGGCGCCCCCTCCGCCCCACCTCATCCCGCCCCCCGCGCGGTCTCTGTCTTCGAGATTGCGCGCGCACTTGGCGAGTTTTCGAGGCGACGCATGCGATGTTTCAGTTGTTCGTCTGCCGATGCCGCCACGCCGTGGCGTCGGTGCCAGAGCCACCCCCCCGACTCTGTCGACCCTGCATTCTGTAGGCTGCCGAGGGGTCAACAGTCGCACATAGGGGGGGGGGGCTGGGTCCATGGATTCCACCAAATGGTTTATCAGATTTCTTTGAAGTGCTGGATCTGCAAGAAGTGCGGCCCTTTCGCCAGTCAGCAGTTAAGGCCTGATTTGGCCATGCCTTGCGACCAGCCCTTGACCGACACCCGCAGGTTGTACGTACATTCAGGGATTGCATGAAGGGCTGTGGCCCACAAAGACCAGGGTAAGCCCTCGAACCGAGCGAAGTCCTCGTAGTTCGGGTGTCTGGCTTGTTGTCATAGGTCACTCCTTCGCACCGCGTTGGGGCCGATTCCGATTCCGATTCCGATTCCTTGCCCTCCTCCTCCTGTTCTTGCGCTTGTTCGATTCCCGTCCCGTACTGTAACTCCCCCACCTGGCAATACCAGACGGGTCGTGAAGGCGTGCTGGACGTTTCGCCCAAGGTTTCACCATTATTCGTGATCTCGAGGTCTGAAAAGTCCAACAGCTTCGCGAATTGAGCACAGGTGGCTTCCACAATGGGGGTCACGCTTTGGCGGTGCGCACACTCTGCATAAATACTCCCGACAGTTAGACGGAGGGAGCGCGGTGTGTGTTTCCAATTGAGGTTCTGCCCGTGGCGCCGCGCACA